CATTCTTACAATATTTTACCAAAGAAAAGCAGATTTTTCCAAAAAATGCAAAGAAGATCATTTTTTCCTAAATAGAAAGTTTTTTTCTTCCGATTTTTTGATTTTTTGTTATCTCTGAAAAAAATCCGAATTTCAAACAGTACCTTTTTCACTCAGTCGCTTCCCCCGCTCCTCTCCGCTCTCTCCCCCACCTACACATATTTCAACACACACTCTCTCTCTCTCTCTCTGGAGCGTTCTCTTCTCTCTACCACCATCAGAGCTCGTTCACAAACTCATAAACCTATTTGCTGAGCCAGGTATCATCATCTACTCTCGTCTGCTCACAATTTCCTGTTTGATTACCGATTCTCTGAATTTTCCTGGAATCGTAGCTTGTTGCTCTTCGTTTTGATCGATCGGAGTTAATCGTAGATTGGGCTTTACACTAATCGATCTCTCTAGCGAATGCTTGTTTTTTTTCTTCGATTAAGATAATCCCTCTTTGTTGCTTTCGCATATCCTGCGTATTTGCTCTTCACGCAGGGCTAATCACTGGGGAAATTGAAATTGTCGAGATCGTTCTTCTTTGTTTGATTGGTTTTTATGAAACGTGTGTGTGCTAGTATTCTATGGCTCATTGTTTGTTGAAGTACTCGGTCTTCTTAAGGATTTTGCTACGAAGAACAATGCTTAATTCGGTTTCGAAATGGTTAGCTTGAAATTGGATCCAACGATGAAGAATAAGGTGGAGGAAAGATAAAACTAGTTGTGATAAGCTGGATTGCTTGTTTAAGCTGACTTCACGCCATAGCTAGATTCGTGTGAAATTGTGATCTATTGCTCAATTTGAGTATGAAGAAATCGTTTCAATTTCCATTATTATGCTGCATTTGAACTCTGATTAATCTTCTTGACAATGACTATGACCTGTTGTTGTTCTGCAGGCTTGGCAGACTAAATTATGTATTGCTCTTCTTCAATGCATCCAAATGCAAACAAAGAAAATACCTCTACTTCAGATGTTCAGGAGAATGTTGTACGAATAACTAGATCACGAGCTAAAAAAGCCATGGGAGGAGGAGTATCAATACCTCCAACAAAACCCACTTTTAAACAGGTACTGAAACATGTTCGTATAGAAAGTCATAAACGAATTGAAACAGATGATGCCAAAATCTCTAATCTTCTTTCCTTTTGTTTATCAGCAAAAGAGACATGCCGTACTTAAGGATGTGAGTAATACTTCTGCAGATAATGTTTATTCAGAACTCCTAAAGGGAGGCAACATCAAGGTACACATGTCAGATGATATGTTTTCATTTTCTTGGTTGGTGTATATCTTATGTTGGTTATATAGCCTTCAAACTTTCCCTTAGGGTTTCTTACTATTGACATCACGTTGCAGGCTAACAGAAAATGTCTAAAAGAGCCTAAAAAAGCAGCAAAGGAAGGTGCTAATATTGCCATGGAAATTCTGGTAGATATGCATACAGAAAAGTCAAAATTAGCAGAAGATTTGTCCAAGATCAGGATGGCTGAAGCCCAAGATGTCTGTCTTTCAAACTCCAACGATGAAGAAATTACTGAGCAACGTAAGAACTGCACTGTTAGTGAATATAATGATAGTTACCACATTCTCCTCAATTCCGAGGTCATGTTGATCACTCGCCAACTTTTAATCAAGCATTGGACTCCAAAATGCAGAAATTTTAGTAGTTATTCCCATTAAATTGTGCTGTCAAGGGTTTAAAGTGAACTCTATACCAAAATGAATTTCTCAAACTTACTTAAGGTATGTATCTTATACTGGATTGCGCAGAAGAAGATGGATCGGGTGTCATGGAGTTTCTTCAAGTTGTAGATATTGATTCCAACGTTGAAGATCCACAGTGTTGCAGCTTGTATGCTGCTGATATATACAATAACATACATGTTGCAGAGGTATTGAATTACATGATCCAAATATTAGCTTTACATCTTTCCACTCTTGTAAATAATCTCAATATAACTACTCATATAAAGACTATCAGAGTTATAACCCCTCTTTTCTTGCAGCTTCAACAACGACCCTTGGCAAATTATATGGAGCTTGTGCAGCGAGATATCGACCCAGACATGAGAAAGATTCTGATTGACTGGCTTGTAGAGGTTAGTTTTTCTTCAAACTTAGCACACATATATAAATAACGGCACCATCTTATCATGTTTCTTATTGAACAGGACACTGAACATTCCTATACATAGTTTTCTTACAAAAATTTGAGCACAAACTGAGAATATTTTTCCAAGATTTTTTTTTGAGTAAAATATTGAACTGCGTGGTATTTTTCAGGTTTCTGACGACTACAAGCTGGTTCCAGATACGCTTTACCTTACAGTTAATCTTATCGACCGGTTTCTGTCCAACAGTTACATTGAAAGGCAAAGACTCCAGCTCCTTGGTGTCTCTTGCATGCTTATAGCTTCGTAAGTCCCTACTTTATTGTTTGTGTGTAAGTGTGTGTCAATTTCAGATTATAGCAATATGAATAGCATTTACAGCACAGGGAGAGCCCGAACATATTATATATGTATACTTGTTAAGTAGAGAAACACTTAAGGCTTTCTCTTCCTTGTACATTTTTGTTGAGCCTTGTAGAAAATATGAAGAGCTTTGCGCCCCAGGGGTCGAGGAGTTTTGCTTCATTACGGCCAACACATACACAAGACCAGAAGTAATTAACATTCAAATCACACATATCTCCGTGTCTTAAATGTGTACAGATTCTTGATAAAAATAAATAAACTAGAATCTTTGTTTCAGGTGCTGAGCATGGAGATTCAAATTCTAAATTTTGTGCACTTTAAATTATCGGTTCCTACCACCAAAACATTTCTGAGGTAAACACCTAGGGGCAGAACTATGAATTATCATATCATCATATCTTTCCAAATTTGTTTAAAAATAGTACCACTGAGTTTTCGTCTTACCTCAACACTATGTTTTTCAGGCGGTTCATTAAAGCAGCTCAAGCTTCGTACAAGGTATTAAACCATGATACATTCGTCATTAAGCCACAGAAACTTGGAATCTGAATTTAGTGAGTTCGTTCTTATAATTATTTTGCAGGTGCCTTTCATTGAGCTGGAGTTTTTAGCAAACTATCTCGCTGAATTGACACTGGTGGAATATACTTTCCTGAGGTTCCTGCCATCACTAATTGCTGCTTCAGCTGTTTTCCTAGCCAGATGGACACTCGACCAAACTGACCATCCTTGGGTCAGCTCATGTTTCTTAAATCTTGGAAAAGGTTGTTTTTGTGTTTGTCTTTATTTTTTTGTGTGTGCTGATAAAAAGAACGCTGTTGGTTATAGAACCCTACTCTGCAACACTACACCAGATATGAGGTAGCTGAGCTGAAGAGCACAGTTCTCGCAATGGAGGACTTGCAGCTCAACACCAGTGGCTGTACCCTCGCTGCCACCCGTGAGAAATACAACCAACCAAAGGTACATTACTCTACAAAATCAAACTGGTGATTGTTGAAGAAAAGTGAATGATTGAACTGGTTCTAATTTACTTTGATAGTTTAAGAGCGTGGCAAAGCTGACATCTCCCAAACGAGTGACATCCCTTTTCTCAAGATGACACCAAGCAGCATCGAAAGTATCGCTAAGTCAGGTGATCAAAATACCTAGTTTCAGACATTGGATGTTATGTGGTCTCTTTGACCATTAATTTCCCAGTGTTTGTTTCTGTGCCAGTTTTGTCTGTCTGTTATTCTGTAGCTATTGTGTGGCGCCTTGATTTGTGTAGGCCATTACTTGTCACACCCCTTAGCTTTAATAAATGTTATGGAATTCTCTAATCCCATTGCTACAACTATTTACCATCCTGCGGGATTTTGTACCTAAGAGCTCTTGGAAAACGAATACAAAAGTGTTAATTAATATATAATCCATGTTTCATGGCTGGATTTGTTATGTTGTTTGTTCTGATTTCACAATATTCATATGGAAACATTTTCATCTACAATTACATCTTCCGCGTAACAATTACAGTTTCTTCTATAGAGAGAGAGAGAGAGGGGACCCGTTGTTCCCAGAGGATAACGACGAAGAACAAACTACACACTTTATAAACGACACGCTTTGCTACATGGTAAACACAAAACAACACAAGTGTTTAGATCTTTGAGGGATAAATGCGCGAATTATTTTTTCTTACCGGGCTGAAAACAGCAAACAGTTCTAATTAAAAGATATGGCGGTTACTCTATCCTACCCTACTCCGTCGTCGTCTCTTTTTTTTTTTTTTTTTTTTTTTTTTTTTTTAATTTTATTCATCCCACAGTGGGCTTTGGCATTGGGCCTAACAGAGAAAAGACGGTTACAAAAAGTACCTATTTAACCGGCGACTTCGCCGGGAAGGAGATCCGGCGTCGTCTGTCATTCATCCTCCGTCGTTTCGGAATCGGAACGCTCGAAATCTCATTTTTCTTCCGCTTCTCCTATTGATCGATGGCTTTTTCAAAGCGTCTGGCTCTGTTAGCGGCTCGATCCGCCCTTTCCGCCGGTAAGCCTCGACGTTTTTGCTCCTCGAACGGTCGGCCTAAAGATTCGAAATTGTCAAAGTCTGAATCTGAAACTAAAATTTATAAGGTAACATATAGCTTCCTAGTTCGTTACTAATTACTATTGGATGTGGTTTGGATATGCAAAAGTTGCTGATTGCTTCCTAACTCTTGTTCTTCCGTTTGAAGATATATCCTGAACGTCTACCCTGGGCAGAAGAAAAACTAGCCAAAATCGACGAGAACAGTGCCAAGATGAGGTCTGCGACCATCTTTTTTTTTTGCTCAAGGTCTTGTAGTAATGTTTGATTTAATTATTCGGAAACTGAGATCTCTCACTTGGAACAGGGCTAAGTTCGAAGCGCAAATGAGCGAGATGGAAAAGGTATATATAGCTCGTTCCTTTACTCTTGAGATTTCATCTTACACTCTTCTCCAGCTTGTAACTGCATTTGTTTTGGTGTTTCAGGATTCTGTGGCTTCTGCAGCTCGACTTAAAACTGCTTCAGATAAAATTCTCACAGTCGACTTGCCTATAATTCTCTGTATGGCAATAACCTGGACCGTCATGATTGCGCACCAGATTCGTTTACTAAAATCAAGCCCCCAAACCGGTAACTTCTCACTATAAAACCCCTTTTGTTTTCCCTGGAAGCCAAAATGGTCAATGAACAATTCAGCATCCATGGGAGATCTTATGAAGCAACTGAGGAACCTCATATAGTGGATGAAGTAAACATCTAAACGATGACATTGCTCAAACAAGATGATGTTTCTGTACAGAGATTCTGTGATGTCGTTGATCTTGATTTTGGGAATCGTGAGGACTCCGTTGGCAAAGCTTATGTCAAGTGCACAGGTGTTGTTGTCTGCGGGCTGGAGCTTAACACCTGCATTTTGAATCTCTTTTGCACTCTGTACAGAGTCCATCATCCTCATGCTTCCTCCTGGAAAACTCAAAACCAAAGGCAGGTGAATAGATCGCAGAAGGTCAACAAAATGACAGATCTTTGAATCAGAAATGCTTCTCGAAAATGAAGGGATGCTCATCCAGAATTTCTTGAAGTGGTTGTGAATGATTCGAGTCAGAGGTGGAAGTTCCCTATGGTAGTCAACATGTAGCAATCCAAACATCCCCTCGACAACAAAATATGGAAGCTGATTTTCAAGTAACATAACGTCATGGTTCACATCGACAATCATCTTTTGCTTCCCATATATCCTATCTAGCATACCTCTGTATACATCAAACTGAGACCTCAAAAGAAGTTCTACTAGGAAGCTTGCATCAACGATTAACATCTTCACAAATTCATTGCTACTAAGTCTTACATCTTCTGTGTAACAAAAGCGAGCCCTTTCTTCCCATGTCCTTGCAACTCCTACCAGGTCTTCCAAACTTAAGGCTGTTCTAGGAATAAAACTCTGTAGGTACCTCAGTTTATGATCTTCCATGGCTTGAAGTTCTTCTTTACCGTAGTGTAAGGGCCCAATCGATACAACCCGAGGCGAATAAGCATCGGGGTTCAATCTTCGCAGCCTCTCAGGTGCCTTATAGATACAACAGTTGGTTGAAAGAGAAGACAAAGATTCCAAGTTCTCTTTGATGGAATCCACAAGGGCATCACCTGGAAGGACTGTAATAGCCTGATTCTGATCCATGTCTCATATGACTTCAACTTAACCAGAGCTTTGAATTCTGTACAGATGAGAGAAAACTTGTTTCTTGCACTATTGGAGAAAGAATTTGATAAAGAATTACGGTCAGAAATTGAAAATGTCAATGCCAAATCGTTTGTGCCTTTCACAAATACTATTAAATTTGACCAAGAAAAGCATACCATTGGTAGGACTGAACCAAGTCATCTGAACCTCTCGTGGTGAATGTTAAAGGCTTTTCGGTTAAGTAAAGAGACGCTATATTATATGGGGAAAGGCGGGACTTTATCAAGGATTCATTCCTCAAGAACAACAGTTAATAAGCTCAGTTAATAAGCTGTTACACGAATGAAACCGGCAGCAATACAATGGTCTTTTATTGGAACCCCTTGTAATGCTACTCATTTGAATTTTCGTGTTTATGTGCTTTTTTGATTTGGAAGATATTGACTACTGAGCAGTGTCCTATAAAATAGACAATTCATGAAACATAAGGTAACTGAGAGCAAAATACAGTGACAATGCCATTTTCCGGGACATTTTCCTTTCCCGGGTGTTGGTACAAAGACAGGACACAAGCCCTATTAAGTCTCAAAAAACTCACTTCAGCTTAGATTTTGAAGAGCTCATTAGAGGTTTAGCAATGGGACGCGCTGGAGCGGCCCTCGTGGCTTTCTTCAAGTCATACTTTATCATAGAGAAAGCGCAGATCATCGCAAGCACCATGGTCGGGTATACATAAACGGTTTTGGCTGGGTCAGTATTTACTGGCTTCCCTAAGATCCCTTCTTTAACAAGCCCCCAAACTAGTAGCAATGACCCAAACATGCTCATCCTACCGGGCTTAAGCAAACCAACCAACGCCCCAGCTACAGAAAAGTAGCTCCCTGCAAGAACCTGGACAAAATAAATCACTTGTGAGACTGCTATCAGGAAGAGTCTGGGCACATGAATGATACAAACCAGTTGCTTGCTACTCAAAACAAAAAAAAAATCAGAAGGTGAGAAATAACTTTGTTAGGAGATCTTGGGATTGAAAAACCGAACCTCTAGGCGCTGAAGATCGGTCACTGCAGATGCTTCTTTCACATTGGTGAGATTGTAGATATCTAACACATTTTCCCACTTTGGAAAGGTCAGGTTGGTGGCAAGACCATTGACTACAGCACCAGGGAATAGGAGAGCCTTAATCACCGGAACAGGAAAGATCTCACTAGAAATCAACTGAGACGATGTCACATGGATCGGAGATGAACACATACCAGATCTACATGGAACCCTGATTTAAGATCACGATTCAAGTCAGATTAACCAGAGAGACAACCAAATTAAGTAATGACTAATGATCCATATTAAGACTCTAATCAACTGATCAATGTTCAAATCCAAAACAATTAGCACCTCTTTCTTGAGGTCAACTTATAAGCTTTTGATTAAAAGACGATTAAGCAATGAAAACCAGCTTAGAGTTTCTTACTAAAACCAACTTCACACAAAAATGCGGAAACTTGAAAGTAATTCAGAAATCAAGTTTTCATCAACCATTACGCAAGAGAAAAACTCAGCGTCGTCCAAATATAGGATTCATAGACGCATCTATCGTTTGAATAACGAAATCTAGGGTTCGAATTACGCAGCTGAAAGATGGTTTTAGTAAGAATATACCTGAAGAGAGGGATCTGGAATATGATCAAGACGAAGTAAACCGATGAAGCCATGGACGTCCATTTCTTAATCCATCCCTTTGATTGCCCTGGATTCGCCATTAACAAGCCCGCAACGAAATCGAATCTAGAGAGAGAGACAGATATCTCAGCTTCTTCTGTAGAGAAAGAGAGAGTGGACCCGTTGTTACCAGCCAGCCGATAACGACGAAGACCAAAATAAATATATTTATAAACGACACGCTTTGCTACATTGTAAACAGAAAACGGCACACTCTTTGAGGGATAAAACAACGTCGTTTAAGGGAGGAACACGATTCGTATAAAATCTGCAGAAAACAGCAAACAGTTTTGATGATAAAATTAAAAGCTATGGCGGTTGCTCTATCCTCTTCCGGCGTCGTCTCTCATCTTCATCCTCCGTCGTTTTCTTCGTCGTCAGGTTTATCCGTCAACAGAGTTCTGTTTCGGAATCGGAACGCTAGTCCTCGTGGTGTAGCTCTTCCAATTCTCAATCCTTCTCGATCTGTACTTGTTTTTGCTCGTGGGAAGAACCGAAAAGGATTCGTGTCTTCGTCGACCCCGAAGAAGAACAAAAAGGTAAGATAATCATAATGAGAATGATTAATGTTCGAAGTTGCTTTTACCTTCTGCTTTCGCCGAATTTGACTGGAATTTGGATACACTAAAAGTGAGCTAATATTGGTTTGAATTGGTTAATTCTCGAATTAGAGTTTGCTTCTTTTTGATTTCGTATCAGTCTTTGATTTCATGGTTTTTGGCAGAAAAGTTTCGATGGAGCTGGTAATGGAGGTGGTGAGGAGGAGGATGATCCATTTGAGGCATTGTTTAATCTATTGGAAGAAGATTTGAAAAATGATAACTCGTCAATAGATGATGAGGAGATAAGTGAGGAAGACTTAGATGCCTTAGCAGAGGAGTTAGCTCGAGCGTTGGGTGGTGGTGACGACGTTGATGGCATCGACTTGTTTGGTTCAGTCACTGGTGATGTTGATGTTGATAATGATGATGATGATGATGATGATGAAGATGAAGATGACGAAGATGATGATGACAGTGAAGAAGAAGATGAAAGGCCGACTAAGCTGAAGAATTGGCAGCTTAGAAGATTGGCTTATGCATTGAAAGCTGGACGCCGTAAAACTAGTGTAAGTTTCACTGCTTGCAAAGTTTCAGTGTTACGTATAGATTTTGAATATATCATGTGAATCATAGACTTTAGCTTTGTTCTTGAGTTATTATGCTCTATAACAATTCCATTGAACGGGTAAATCCTCGGAGTCAAATGTATCATTGTTAACTGATGGTTTTGTTGTGATCTGCAGATAAAAAATCTGGCAGCTGAGGTTTGTCTTGACAGAGCTTATGTTCTTGAATTGCTTCGTGACCCGCCTCCGAAGCTTCTAATGCTAAGTGCTACACTACCAGATGAAAAACCACCAGTAGCAGCACCTGAAAACTCCTCACCTGATCCAACTCCTGTGAAATCATCATCAGCTGAAGATGTTGTGGTCGAACCTAAGGAAAAAGTAAAAGATGAAGCAGTTCATGTGATGCAACAGAGATGGTCTGCTCAGAAAAGAGTGAAGAAAGCTCACATTGAAACGCTAGAGAAAGTTTACAGAAGATCAAAACGACCCACTGTAAGGATTCTCCTTTACATTTGAATCAGTTCTATGTTAGTTGAATGTTCTATCTCACATATGATGTTTGATGATGCTGTGTATAGAATGCCGTGGTTAGCAGCATTGTTCAAGTGACCAATCTTCCAAGGAAGCGAGTTTTGAAGTGGTTCGAAGATAAAAGAGCAGAAGACGGAGTTCCAGATAAGCGAGCTCCATATCAAGCTCCGGTTTGATCTAATGTTAACATTGAGCTGGGCAATGATTAGTATTCTGGAGAAACTCATCAACAGACATTTTTTTGGTAATACGAGGAGTGTTTATATGTTTAGTAGATTCTGTCGAATGATGTGGCTGGATATGTTTAGCTAAGAAATTTAGGATATATTGGATTCAGTTCTTAGTTATTTTGCGTCCTATACAATCCTTTTAATTCGTCCTCTGTTGTTGTAGTATCTATTCATTAAAGAGCACAGATAAATTGTTTTGGACATTTTAGTTTTCAATTTTGTTTGGTTGATGGCGGCTATAATTTAAAATTTTAATGCATGACAAAACAAATCACAAAATACTTTCACGACACTTTTGAAAGCACTGCCCTAGGCGTGGGCCATGTGACAGAATGAAAGAACTAAGACCAAACTTTTCTGCCCAGGACAGACATGGGGCCCACATAATTATCTCCCATATCCATTATTCACCGTAAGATGCTAACCAGATCCAACGGATCATATCTACCCACGCTCCCATTTCATGTGCCTTTGGATCCTTGTATTTCCTCAAGGCTCACCTTTCTCCACGATTCACTCTCTATATCCGTCAGATCCACCTTAGATCTGACGGCGATAGCCACACCAATCTATTCCTTCCCAAAATGTCTCGCAATTAGATTCTTTCCAAGTTCTTCTGTAAATCCCAAGTCCCGCTCTTTTCCTCTTTATCTCTTTCACCAGCTTCGCTACTAAGACAACAATCTTTCCCTCTCTCTCACCCGATCGGTCTTTCAATTGTAAGAAAAATGCAGGAACAAGCGACTAGCTCTTTAGCTGCAAGCTCTTTACCATCAAGCAGCGAGAGGTCATCAAGCTCTGCTCCACATTTGGAGATCAAAGAAGGTAAAATAAAATTGTCGATTTTTTTTCTTTTTCTTCTTCAAACGACTGATCTCATTGATTTTCATCCTCATGCATTGGATATAAAGTAAATTCACATCTAGATTTTGAATCACCATTGGTTTTCTCAATTTTGTCTGCAGAACTATTAGTCTTCCCGACAAAATTCTCGAGATCTATAATTTCAATTGTGTTAAAAAGTATCAAACTTTACGCCTAAAGTCTCTTTTATGTTTTAAAGGAATTGAAAGCGATGAGGAGATACGGCGAGTGCCGGAGTTCGGAGGAGAAGCTGCCGGAAAAGAAACTACCGGTAGAGAATCTGGTTCGGCGACTGGTCAAGAGCGGACACAGACAGCGGTCGGAGAAAGTCAAAGGAAGCGAGGGAGGACACCGGCGGAGAAAGAGAACAAGCGGCTGAAGAGGTGTTTGTTTTGTCTGTGTTAATTACATTTTTACCCTTTAGAGGTGCTTATGTTAAATAACGGTTGCGTGATGGGGTTGTTTGGTAATATATATGGCGAAAAGGTTGTTGAGGAATAGAGTTTCAGCGCAGCAAGCAAGAGAGAGGAAAAAGGCTTACTTGAGTGAGTTGGAAAACAGAGTGAAAGACTTGGAGAACAAAAACTCTGAACTTGAAGAGCGACTCTCTACTCTCCAGAACGAGAACCAGATGCTTAGACATGTACGTTTCATTGATCTAATCTGCAATTATCAATGATTTTGCCATTTGTTTTGATATATCACAGTACTGGTTTATCACATTTATGAGTCTAGGATTCACCAATTAGTTAAGTTAGTTAAAAGGATTTAAGAAGCTAACTTAAGCTTGAGATTAATTCTTGAAGGCATGTAAATTTTTCGATGGTTCTTGAAATGGTCATTCATTGTGATTTATATGGATGGAGAAAATGAGGATGCAAAGTTGGACTCTCTCTTTATGTGTGTGTGTGTGTGTCAAGGTTTTATATTCAAAAGTTTTGAGTTGTTTTGTTTTTGTGGTGCAGATTCTGAAGAACACAACAGGAAATAAGAGAGGAGGTGGTGGTTCTAACGCTGATGCAAGCCTTTGATCTCCTTCTTCTTGTGCTATATTTTTGTGTATAAAATTTACAGAGAATTGTATCAATAAAAATGTTATATTATTACTTGGGATGTGAGTGCTAAAATCGCAAAATTGTAGACCGAATTCTCTTGTAGTCTGTAGATTTTCTTAATTCAAAGCTGATATTGTTTTTAACAAAAAAAAATGAAGAAGCTAAATTTGTTGTATGATATGACTCTAGAAGGTTACGAATCAATTCTGGAATCTTTATACTTGGTTATATTCCACTTCTGACCCTATGCGGCTATGCCTTCCGATTTCGACAGAGGATGCTCTGATTACAGACAAGTCGATACAAATCGCCAAAAATCGAACACTTCAGTCAAAAGCTTGAGGAATGAATAGCCATGTAAGTTTTTTGACACCTTTTCGATCCTTATTTAAATCCAGGGAACTAAGATTTTAATCACTGCTTCCTTGAATTTGCTTGTGTATTTAGTTGCTGATTTGGTCTTGGAATCGGATTGGCACAGCCAAATTTTCATGGAAAAATTCGTATAATTCTTCTAGTACATTTTGTTTAGTGTTTCTTTGAACGAAGCTTCCTCTCTTACTGGTTGCTCTTGACTCTTGTTCTTGTAGGACCTATTATGACGTTCTTGTAATTTTCTATGTGGAATTAGGTATATGGGAAAAAGAAGCACCTAATCCTCTTTCTTTGCTACTAGTTCTAACATTCTGCTTCCGCGGGGAAGGTGTCCGTAGAAACTTTTTCAGTCACATTCAGATGGAGTTTCAAAGAATGGGAATCACTCCATTCATTGATAATGAGATCAAAAGAGGGGAATCCATCGGTCCTGAGCTCATTCGTGCCATTAGAGAATCTAGGATCTCAGTTATTTTGCTCTCTAAGAATTACGCTTCTTCAAAGTGGTGTCTTGACGAACTGGTGGAGATTATGAAGTGCAGAGAAGAGTTGGGTCAAACAGTAGTGGCCATTTTCTATAAAGTAGATCCATCTGAAGTAAAAAAGTTGATCGGAAATTTTGGGCAAGTATTTAGAAAAACGTGTGCTGGTAAAACAAAGGAAGACATTGGAAGATGGAGAGAAGCTTTGGCTAAAGTGGCTACAATCGCTGGTTATCATTCAAGCAACTGGTTAGTCCTTGAGATTCCCATTTGCTCTTAAACTATATACATTTATAGCTTTTAAACATTACCCTTCCAAGAATTACACTTGATTTTTTAATTACCATCCCATGGTGTTATTTAATGGATGTGTTGATCTCCGCTACTGTTAGGGATAATGAAGCAGCCATGATCAAGAAAATCGTAACTGATATTTCAAACATGTTGAATAATTCCATATCATCAAGTGATTTCGATGGGTTAGTTGGTATGAGAGCTCATTTGGAAAAGATGGAACCATTGTTATGCCTAGAGTCAGATGAAGTGAGGATGATTGGGATTTGGGGTCCTCCTGGGATTGGGAAGACCACAATCGCCAGAGTTGTGTACAACCAATTCTCCAACAGTTTTCAATTGGGTGTCTTTCTGGACAATATCAAAGCAAACTATACAAGACCTTGTTCCGATGACTACAGCTCAAAGTTACAATTGCAAAAACACTTTATGTCTCAAATAATCAACCATAAGGATATGGAGATTTTTCATTTAGGAGTTGCCCAAGATAGGTTGAAAGACAAGAAAGTTCTTGTCGTCCTTGATGGTGTGAACCAGTCAGTACAACTAGATGCGATGGTGAAAGAAACCTGGTGGTTTGGTCCTGGGAGTCGAATTATCATTACAACACAAGATCATAGGCTTTTTAGAGCACATGGGATTAACCATATTTACCAGGTGGATTTTCCACCAGCTGATGAGGCTCTTCAAATCTTCTGCATGTATGCTTTTGGTCAGAAGTCCCCTAAAGATGGTTTTGAGGAGCTTGCTTGGGAAGTTACAACATTTGCGGGTAAACTTCCTTTGGGGCTAAGGGTTCTGGGCTCCCATTTCCGGGGAATGTCGAAGCAGGAGTGGATAAAGTCACTACCAAGGTTAAAAACTAGTCTTGACACTGATATTCAAAGCATTTTGAAATTCAGCTATGACGCTTTGGATGATGAAGATAAAGATTTATTTCTTCATATTGCCTGCTTTTTCAACTATGGAGTGATTGAGAAAGTGGAAGAGCATCTTGCGAGGAAGTTCTTGGAAGTGAGGCAAAGACTTAACGTCTTATCTCAGAAATCTCTCATACTCTTCAACCAATGTGGACGTATTGAGATGCATAGTTTGCTAGAAAAACTAGGTAGAGAAATTGTTCGTAAGCTATCTATTCATGACCCTGGACAGCGCCAGTTTTTGGTCGATGAAAGAGAGATCTGTGAAGTACTGATTAGTGATGCAGCAGTAAGTCTTTCATTGCATTGATCCCAACAAATTTAGTAGTATATATGATAGCTAATCATCTCTACTTTTTTTCTTCTGTTCCTTTATTTCAGGGTAGTAAAAGTATTATAGGTATAGATCTCAACTACAGGGGAATTGGGGAAGAATTAAATATAAGTGAGAGAGCCTTTGAAGGAATGTGTAATCTCCAGTTCTTAAGAATCGATGGTGATTGCAATACATTGCAGTTATCGCAAGGTCTGAACTATTTTTCTCGCAAACTTCGAATACTACACTGGAGTTATTTCCCGATGGCATGTTTGCCTTCTAATGTGAACTTGGAGTTTCTTGTCGAACTAATCATGGATAACAGTAAGCTTGAGAAGTTGTGGGAGGGAATTAAAGTAAGTAGGTTTGATTTATTTCTATTTATTATGGTCCAATTTATTAGTGATTTCTATTATGAAATCTATCCCTATAATGGATCCATGTGAGATTAGCATCGGGGATTAAAGTCTTTTATATAAGAAAATGCTATTGCCACTCTCTTTTAGTGGTTTTTCTCATGTGTACTACTAATGTATACTTGTTATTTGTCTGCACAGCCGCTTCGTAATCTCAAGAGGATGGATATGCGTGATTCTGCAAACTTGAAGGAGCTTCCTGATTTCTCAACTGCCACTAATCTTCAGAAGTTGAATCTAAGTTATTGCTCAAGTCTAATCAAGCTCCCCTCTTCTATTGGGAATGCCACTAATCTCAAGAAATTAAATCTCCGTAGATGCTCAAATATTATGGAGTTTCCTTCTTTTATTGAAAAAGCCACCAATCTAGAGATATTGGATCTTAGTAGTTGCTCAAATTTGGTTGAACTTCCTCTTTTTATTAAAAACCTTCAGAAGTTGCAGAAGTTGAGATTAGGAGGATGTTCTAAGCTACAGGTTCTTCCAACCAACATCAACTTGGAATCTTTGGTTGAACTTGACCTCACTGATTGCTCGGCATTGAAATTGTTTCCCGAGATTTCTACAAACGTTAGAGTTCTCAAGCTCAGCGAGACTGCAATAGAAGAAGTGCCTCCCTCGATCGCGTTCTGGCCTCGTCTTGATGAGTTGCATATGTCTTACTTTGAAAACCTCAAGGAACTCCCTCATGCTCTTTGCAGCATCACAGATCTGTACTTGAGCGATACAGAAATACAGGAGGTTCCTTCATTGGTCAAGAGAATCTCTCGTCTGGATCGATTAGTGCTCAAGGGATGCAGAAAGTTGGAATCACTCCCACAGATTCCAGAGTCCCTCTCTATAATAGATGCAGAAGATTGCGAGTCCCTGGAGAGACTAGATTGCTCCTTTCACAATCCAAAGATTTGTCTCAAATTCGCTAAGTGCTTCAAACTGAATCAAGAAGCAAAAGACCTCATCATCCAAACACCGACTAGTGAACATGCCATTTTACCCGGTGGAGAAGTGCCTTCCTACTTCACTCATCGATCTACAAGCGGGGGTTCATTGACAATAAAGTTGAATGAGAAGCCTCTTCCTACATCCATGAGATTTAAGGCCATCTTGTTGGTTCATCAAAGTGACGATGGTAAGAAGTATCCATCTAGTGTTGTCTCGTTTTGGTGTAAAAAAAGCTGGCATGTAATGTATCCAACTTTAGCAGAGCATCTATACACATTTGAAGTCGAAACAGCGGTCACTTCCAGCGAGCTTGTCTTTGAGTTCAAGCTCGACAGTAGCGATTGGAAGATAAGAGAATTCGGACTACGCAAACTCATGGAGGTCCCTTCATTTTGATTAATACATTTTTTTCTTAGCATTGTTGCTGCTGGAATATGCTTCTTCATGCTTTTGACAAAAATCAGATTCCATATCAAGTTAACAAAGAAAATAATTTTGATTAATACATTTTTTTCTTAGCATTGTTGCTGCTGGAATATGCTTTTGACATGTTGTAACGAATAGAAAGCAAATTAAAAATGGCTTTGTTTCACGTAAAGTGTTTCGTTCTAGTCTTGTTCAGTTTTAAAAAATGTAAATATAGTTTTGTGCAACGCGTCGAAGACAAGAAAATGAGTTAAAAAGTTCTCGCTTAGGCTCAATAATACAAATTCTAATACAAGTTAACAAGGAAACAACACTGAAAGAGACAAAAATGCAAGAAGAAGAGGCAAAGCTCCTTTCTCTATGCTTCGCTCATTAGCTTACATCTCCATCAAGGAATCATCTGAAAGAAAGACAGTAGGGAAGATTTAGATATAACATTTACTCCACAAACCAATATGCAAGAAACGAATCTAAAATCGTTTACCTTTATCCTTTCCATCGTCGCTGCTTAAATCGGATTCAATATCATTGTTCTCACCATAGAAATGCTCTTCTACATCTTCTTCCTCATCCTCACTTTCATCAATCTCTTGATCATGAGCTACTGTTTGAGTTTGATTTACTGCAGCTTTATTGATCTGCCATAAACGAAGGGTTTATTAAAAACTAGACAGCAATATGCTTGCATCCGCCTTGAGAATTGATTAGAAGGTGATGGATATTACCTGGGCTGTAACAAGTTGTAAGCGCCCAGATAACTGTAGTAACTGTTGAAGAGCCGTTCCTCGGGACTTGGTAATCTGGACGAACAGTATATAACATATTAAACCAAGAAAATATTACAGAACTAACAAAATCATTTTGCTATACGCTTATCTCTCACCTTAACCAATGTATTAAGAAGCTGGTTTTTTGGTTCTTGAGACATTATGTAATGACTATGATTCACCATTATGCTGTATATCCATGGAAGAAGATGCCTCCCACCACATGCCCTATTGAAATATAAGCAACTTTGTAAGACCAGAGAATCAAACATGGTCTGGGTTATTTATCATAGCCGAAGATTAAACAAAAAATTGCTAGTCTAGAGAAGAACATTGAGGTTTTAAGCGTTGACTTTATTTTCAATTATAAGAATAGATGAGACAACTTGCGAACAGAAAACAAGGAAATCAGAGAACCAACCTTGTCTGCCACATAGCAACCAAAGCTTCTAGAGTCTTGAATGCAGAGGAGGGTTCCATTGAGGAAACAGCAGATTTTAACTGCCGATACAAAAAAATTTATATGAATACTACGATTGGTAGATTCAAATAAAAATCTCTAGAGAAATGCATCAGTAGGATGTAACACACACCAAAGAACCGAGCATCCAGAAAACAAATATACCTTCTTTGGTGGTAGATAAGCCTCGAGATCAATTCCATCAATTATTGAAGCATAGGAAACATTTTTTTGTTCATCTGTACCTCCAAGTATCCCTAGCGATCTCAACTTATCCTCCATGCTAAATGTTTCTACATGATCTGAAATTTTGAAAGAGAAAAGAATGAACAAAAGGCCAAAAGCAGTTCTTGTACCGAAGCATATCTACTCAAAGAGCCAAAATCTAGTGATCTGCATCAGTACGGTGAGACTTCAGTACCGTGATGTAAAACTCACCAGCTTGACTTTGGTCAACCATATCAGTATCCTTATCAGATGAGTGTAGTTGTACACTCTTTTTCTCATGCAGATCAGCAACTCTTGCGATTGGCAGCAAAGCATCCTCCGCATGAGCACGGTCTAATGTTGTAACTATAAAATTATAAAATCTTTGTCAGTCATTGTTATTGACAGGAAAGGGGAAAAATAAAAACTGCACAATTCACAAGGTAGTATTGAGGACAAAGATCGTCCATACTGGGAAGATGAAACAACAGGATTCAACATATCGAAAGATACATCCTGTAGTTCCATTAATGTCAAAAATCAGTTACACCTAATAAGAAATAATTATGAGTCTACTTCACATGGCGTGAATATTGTTAAACAGCTGGCACTGCTGGAAATCTTTGAATAAATTAGTCAATTTTGAATTTCGCAATACAATGACAAAATAAACAAAAACAGCCTAATCAATTTGTTTATTTTGTAGGAAGTTTCATGATTTAGTAAAGGGTATAGCCCATAGAAGATACCTTTATTCTGCACGCCTTTTCCCTTGCTGGACTTGGACACTGACTGAGTGATGGGGAGAAGGATCCCATCCTTAGAGGCATTGAGCACCAAGTCAGTGCCAAACTGCAACACCATTTTCTGGAATGAGGGTTTCACAAGTAACCCGGATGCGATAAATGCATGCGCAGAACCAGGCTTCAAAATGCCTTGTAATTTGGCAGCAAAGATTAAAGGCAATGAGCCCTTGTGAGGTTTGAGGGAAGAATCTGCAGTTGCTAATGCGACTTTTGTAGGCGTTGCATTGCATAGCTCCTCAACATTTGATCCATACCAAAAATAACAGACACCTATTTCTGAAATTGCTAAAACGTATAACCCTTTTTCATTTGTTTCACCCCAACTATCCACGAAGACGGGAGGGTGCTCCAAGGCAAGAACACAACTAGCGGACTGCTTCTTTGCACCATTTGTTTTCCAAACTGCAATATATCTTTCACCGACTGCAGATGAGAGGACATACTTCCCATCCTCGGTGAAAGCCACACAACGCACACCTCCCTATACGACATGAAAAATTGTTAACAACCTTCTAATGTGTGACAAAGAGGTAGCATACTAACAATAAAACCTGGTAGATAAAATGTAATGCCGACAAATAGTACAGGTACTCACAGGATGTCCAGTAAACTTTTGTATCTTCTTGAGATCTGAGCAGTTAAAAGTCTTCAACTGAGCAGATGCAGTGACTAATATTTTTCCATCTACAATTGGGAGGAAAAACGTCATCAGCAGTTATACATATCTGTTATAGTCTTAAGCATTTTGACTGAAATTTACCCCTATTAATGTGGCTTTTTTAAGGCTACTCAAAACATATTTGAAGAAACCATTTTTTCTATTTAGATCAAGCGGAAGGACATACCTGGTGAAACACATAAAGAAGAAACTGTTTTTGTTGACGCTTTGAACTTTCTGATCAGATTCCCACTGTGAGGATCTATCTGACAAACCATCCCATCTGCCCCGCCGCTGTATATGCAAGAGGCCTTTGCTGAAGATGAAACAGCATTAACACCACTGCACAAGACAGGAAACATGTATTAATATATGTCTAAAACCAGCTTCAGAGAGGAAATTTCAGAAAGACCTGCAGAGAGAACAACTACCTAGCGCATAACCAAATAACAGAATGCCAATATTTTTACAAATAGATCAGTTTGCTTTCAAATATGGTCCAATAAAAGAAAGGTAAAGAAGTCAGTGAGAGTTAGTTACTCACCCGGGATGACAATCACTTATCCTCCATTTCAGCTGACCAGAAGCCACATCAAGTGCTAACACATCTCCGCCACCAGTTCCTAATACCAATACGGAAGTTCCAAGTTTCCTCTTCTTCTGCAGATAAAAAGTATAAATCTTATTTATAAGCAAAAACAATGTTTAACAAACTAAATCTACACCGCAAGGCTAGAATAAAAATAAAACTAAGCCTCTATACCTTTTTCTCCAGAGACAACCATTTCATGCAAGTATAATCGACCGAGAGATGACCTTTCCCAACTTTAGTATATATGTTAGTCTCCTCTGTAGATGCAATATCAGCAAACTCTGTTTGGACCTGACCCTTGACAGTATCCCAAATCTATACAACACCAAAAGAAAATACATTAATCGAAAAGTAAAAGATCTTTCCTTTGAATAGAAAATCACTACAAATTGAACAAGACAAAAACAAAATATGAGCCAAATTCCAGTCAACAAAAGTAAGATCAAACAGGCCTGTACACAATTGTATGAATAACAATCCACCACCAATAAAACTAACACAAATTCACAACTAGATGGTAGAGAATACCAGATTAAGCCAGTTTCATAAGTAGCTAGATAAGTGGATTACAGAGATATAATAAATTGTTGAACATGAAACCATAGAAGAAGAAAAGTGAAGATACCTTGATACGGCCATCTCCGGTGCTAAGAGCGAGATAATCAAGTGCAGGACTGAAAGAAGTCAATACATCTTTAATATTCACCAAATTCATCTTTCCCTGAAAATTATTTGAAGCAAACAATCAAAATTCCTTCCCCACAACAAAACCCGAGCTTCAATGGGCGTAAGTGTCTTCTAGCTCATGGAAAACATGAAAATTTCCGATGAAGAAATGCTGCGACTTACCAGACCAATCGAAGGAGAAGCGGGTGTCAAAGTACAACTTTCTTCAGCTGGCACAGGAGGTGAATCAGAAGACGGTGGCGGAAGAGAAGAGCGACAGAGAGTGAGGGGTCGCTAAGAAGAGAAGAACGCAAATTAGGGTTTTTGAGAGGTTTTTCTCTTGTCTGAGGTTTCGTAACGGCGAAAGGGTTGGATGTGACAAATTAAATTATTACGGGTTTAATGAATTAACAACCGAATTTTTAAGGATTAAAAGAAAAAAATGCGCCAAATGTCGGAAATAAAAAGGGAAACGGGCCTTATAAAACCTTTGGCATCAATATTGCCGAATAGTTATTGGGCTTACTCATTAAATAAAGCCCACCTTATAATGCCCTCCGTCACTTCCCTTTTTGGTAGTTTTGACTATTTTTTTCTGAAGAGCAAAAGGAATTAGGAGTTTGTAGTTGATGAGATGCTCTCGCTAGTTTGGTTTATTTTTTGAAAGAACGAAATTGTAACATGTTTGAAAATAACGCGCAGACTCTGAAAGACACATAGGAACAATGTGTGAGAACCACCCTATAAATTTGGTACTAAAGAGGATGAACTTGGCATTATCAAATGTTCATCAATGGAGATTTAGGATGGTAACTAACATAATCATAATTGTTTTATGATAACATCATTAGACAGTCAAACACAAAGCTGGCTGCCATTTTTGTAACAAATCTTACCATCCACGAGTATGGTTAAATAAGAAATAGGAAAATCCATAAACAGAGGTTTCGTAACACCATTGTAACCATAAATAACAAGAAGAAAACAATACGAGAAGGAGAAAGAAAGCTCGAAAAAAAACAAGACGAAAGCAATAAGAGATTCTGACTTTCACTACCTATGAGCTAATCAATGGATCAAAAGCAACCTCAGATTCCATAAGAACCCTACCATCCCTGATTTATCCAAATCATAATCATCTTCCATGCTCTTATTCCACCAATTCTCTATATGTTGCTAAATTCCATTTTCTTGTTCTCGAATCAAGAACTCTTCATTTAATTACCAGACTCATTCTTCTTACCTTCACCATCACCTTCCCTCTCTTCAAGCAACCGACCACTCTCCTCATCAGCTTGCTGAACCTTCTTCTTCTCCTCCTCTTTAGCCTTCAAGGCCTGTAACTTCGCGTGGTTGTAATACGCAACTCCCAAAAACGCAATCCCGTACCCGAAAAGGTTGATAGGAGTCACAGTATCCTTAATCACAGACCAAGAGAAAGCAATCAAGAGCCAATCCTTAACCACACCAGCAACATTCATAGTCAAAGCAGAGGTTTTCCCAACCAAAAGGAACACAGCAAGATTCAACGCAAACGCACAGAACGAATTCGCCCCGAAAATCGCATAATCCAAGTGAAAGCTAGACGTATCTCTAAGAACCGGAAACTCAACGTAGATCCATGGAATAAACAAGAAAGCTAAGCAACAAGGAGCAACGTAATATAGCGAAGTAATGGGATTAAGCTTGATCCCTTTATCCCCAAGTAAGATCTGAATCAAAACCAAACGAGTGGCTTCAAAAGCAACAGCACCAAGCTGAAGAATCACACCCCAAACATCAAACCTAGCTTCTCCATAAGCAGCAATCGCAACACCAAACGAAATCGAGAGCATATTCATCATAGTATCAGATTTGAAACCTTCCTTCTTGAACAGAACACCGATCGAGTAAACAGCGACAGGCATCAGAGCTTTAAGCATCTGGATGAAGGAGACTGATAGGTAAATGTAAGCAGAATTCGATAACCAGAGTGATAGAGCGTACAAAGCACCGATCGGGACGACGGATCTCAGGTAAGTCTCGCGAGTCATTTTAACAGGCTCGACGAATTTGAAAACCTTGATGATGAGAAAAGCTAGGGTTGAGCAAAAGGACATGTGGATCATGGTGAGTGAGATCGGGAATGCCCAATTGTACATCTTCTTGTCGAGGATGTATTTGTTGTAGACGATTACCGTGAAGCTTAAGAAGATCCATATGGCGACGTAGCTGTATGAGAGAACGATGTTCTTTATCACGCTTTCGCTTAGTGCGCCGCCTTTCCCCATTGCGACGGATTGGTGTTGAGATTTGCTACTCTGTACGGTGGTCAAGCGGCGGAGACGGCGGCTGAGACGTTTGTTTGGTGAGATCCTGAATAAAAAAGTCTTCACAACCAAGTGATTTAGTTGTGCTCTTCCTTGTTTTGTTTCACGATTTATTTATACGTTTGAAAGATTTTTTTTTTTTATAGATAATAAACGATAATAATGTGAATGGAAAATAAAATAAATAGAAACGATAGCCACGAAATTTATTGAGTTAACAACCAAAAGATTTATTAGTTTATGTATATCTTCTAGTCATAAAATCCAATATGAATAAATTTGTTTTTTTTTTTAATTTTCATTATCTTTTACAAAATAACAAAATCCGTGATAGATTTTTGGTTCAATGAGCCAAGATTTTATAAATAAACATTTCATGAACAATTGTCAATTTGTCATCATCCCAAGATTTATTTCCTTATAAAGAATTTTGGTGCTTTAGTAATGTAAATGGGCCCACTGATCGCAACCAAAAGCCCAATAGCGTTTTCAAGACGTCTGGAGGAAGAATAGATGGTGTTAGGACAACGCGCGTCGATCGTCCACCGTTCAGGTGTGAGATCCATGCGTCTCACCAAAGTCACGCGGCTTGTGATGCGCGTTTCGTGTGAATTGTGATTCAATGCTTTTGTCGCTTGGACGTGTTTTTCCCGCTAGGGGAAAATAATCAAATATTTGTTTGTTTTTTATTTTGTCCTTTATTAACATCCATTGATATAAAAATGGAAAATAAAATCAAGACACTCTACTTGTAATTGTTGTACTATTAATTTGGTGAATGTTCTAAATTAGGGAGTGACAGTGTGTTGAAGAATATATATCGAGTTGAAGAATTCAAAGAATTATATCGAGTTGAATAAAGCCACTTACTCTAAGTGATGTTAAATTATTACTAACCACAATGATCCATTATCTTCTGTTTTTAACCGCACCATTCTCACCAATCACCATTTCCATCTCCATCATCTTAGCGCAATAAAAATGATTTGGTCGATGATTACTTCAGGGTTTGTGAAACATCAATGGTATTGATAGACAAAATAGAGATGACCTTCTCCGTTTTGGATACTAGTTAGTCAATGCGTTATTCAGGTTTTTTGGTAAATTAATTATATTATATTCTCAATATAATGATGTGATAATAATACCATATTATATTATAGTTCATAAATCCCTTTCGTTTGGACCACTTCCGAACTACTAATATAGGAGATGTGCAAGTCGTTAGTCGTTACCTAACAAATTGCATGATTTGATGTTATTAGACTTCATTTTGTTGACTAACAAATTTTATCCAGTTATTCTTAATTTAATGATTAGTCCCTCAATTTATAAGAGTGTTCAGAACATTAACAAAAGATAGGCACCTTATCTTATTTAGAGATTGTTTGGATTAGTTTTTTTGTCTACTCTTCCTATGACATAGGAAAATGCGTTTGTGATTTCTTAGTTTACCAGTCATGTCTTAAAAGTGTGTCTAAAAGTCTACAAGCGTCTGTAGTCCAACGGTTAGGATAATTGCCTTCCAAGCAATAGACCCGGGTTCGACTCCCGGCAGACGCATTTATTTTTGTTTTATGTTTTTTTCATAATGTTTGCCTGCCCCGCTTTGGCTTCCACATGCTTAAATAGTTAAATCCGTAAACATAAATATAATTCAGTGAAATCTCTATTAATTATTTGAACCAACGATTACTACTTCGCAAGTAATTTGATGAAGTATTAACAAAAAAAAAAAAAAAAAAAAAAAAAAAATTGATGAAGTATCTAAAATTTGGTTACCATGATATTGTCCCTTCAAATCAGTAAAATTTCATTGAAACTATGGTTACCCATCTACTCAAAAGCTATCTAAGTATTTTGAACATTTTTGAGAAAACCAAAAAGAGTGGGCATGCATAAAAATATTGTGAAAGTCTATTGGATATTTAGAGTGACATGTAACATCAAATTTAATTATGTGAAAACATATTGCCTTCAAAAATGAAGAAGCCCAAATCTTCTTTGGGGTGTTACATATGTTTTCTAGTTATTGAATTTCAACATAAGACATAATAAAACTTTGTTATCAGAGAATAACAAAACAAAAAAACTAAATTTCATTTGTCTTAATTTAACCATCTCTACTCATGCTATACTTACGAGCCCAAATATGTTTTCCATTAGTCTTAAACTTTTTTATCTTCTCGCCGTCGAGTATACGATCCACAGTAGCAATTGAATCTAAGACCAGCTTTGCAAATAGTGATTGTTGTTGGCCATTGCTATTTACATTTGCGTTGGGGGAGTTGCCGTTGTCCTCGTGCATGTAAACGCCTTCAACACAATTTTCTCCATATTTTTTGGTGAAAAAACTTTTCACCTCCGCTTGCGAAACAGGAAACCCACGAGAAAATGTTAAAAACATAGTCCTTTCGATATCAGACGCGATGCAGTTAGCGTTCCAACCCCATAGACCATGAGAACAAAGAACTATGTTGTTGTTGTAGATATTATCCCCAACAACGACATCGGGCATAACATTGATGCTTCCAAACGTCGGATGGGGAAAACCGGGGATGATTAGAGGATGGCGGAATCTAGTGACAAAAGTATATGATGAAGAAGATGGAAGAGCTTGTTGAAGTATGTCAGAAAAAATTCTTGAACAAACAGTGGTTAAAAAGTTTTTGATTCCTGCGATAGCACTGTATCGGTGTTTGTAGAATATTTGAAGAGATATGTCTTTTGCCAAGAGTTCTGCGGTGAGAGGGATATGATTGAAGCCATTTGGCTTCTCACCAGAATCAAGGCATTGGAAGCACAAGACCGCCTCGTTAGCTAAAGCCACAATGACTGGATCGCTTAAAGCCAATATGGTTGATAAGATGTTTTGAGAAAAAAAGTCTTCAAGCCAAAACCACGTCGCCATGATAAGAAGTGATTCGGCTGGGGATCTTGAAAATTTTAGGACAAGTCTTGAGAATATTTTTCTGTCTTTAGCATGGAAAGTGTGTAGTTGTTCTATGGAGGGTGGTGACATGATCGATCTCGGATGTGAAGAGACTATTGGAAAGAAAAACTCGGTTGCGAAAAGTATGGAAAATGTGAAAAATGGATATGTAGATTGCTTGGATATACCATTGTCACTCTCTAATTGGTTTGTTTTATACACATATGAGGGTCACATGATTTAGAAGGTTATTTAAGATAATGAATGTAAAGAGTTAATTTTCGTATCCAGCCACAAACTAAATGTTATTGGTAGTTTCAAAGTAACAGTTACAAAAGAAAAAGTTAAGAAATGAACTTTTTTCTAAGTTTGTTCTGTTACAAGTAAATTTTATACCTACTGACAAAATTCTCTTGGAGTTTAGTTGACTATTGACATTGAATTCTAATGACTATAAAAAGTAAAAGAAAAATTAGTTTATTGGTAACGTTTTTAAAAAATCATTTTTACTAAATGAGTCTAACCATAATTAGACACCAAAGTTTTTTCTTAATTATGGTGGTCAGGTCAATGAGAAATTGTCACCTCTCTATGTACTGTATGTAATGTCTTTACATTTAGACATATCAGAAATTATATTTATTGTTTACTATTTTAAACCTATTTTATGGTGTCATTTCTTTTTTATCCTATTGTCTTTTCTTTTTATCTAATTGGAGGATATTTAATCAATCTTTTCATTTATTTTCTACTTTTGTGATTGGTTACAGAAATTTGTAGATATCTTTTTGGATAATTTTTGAAACTTTTTGTTAACCATATTTGGATAAAAATATGGTAGTAAATGATATTTGATTTATCTTTTGCTTTAAAGATAAGTCATTACCATTTATGTTATTCAAATTGGTAAAAAGTGGTTAAAATTTCCAACAATTTAAAAGTTCTTAAGTCAATACATATTTTCCTAATAATTTTTTTTTAATGCATTGCCTAAAAGAATTTTTCACAGTAATTTCTTAAGAAAACTAGAAAGACTATTCTACATATTAACAAAAGGTTTTTTTTATGTAAATTATTTGATTTCATTTTTATTTGGAATCGCTTGTCACGTCAGCCCGCATAATGCCACATCATCGCAACAATGTATGCTTAGTCATCATAAATTAATGGTTGACTAACACCGGCAAAGTCAATGTTGGTTTTCACTAATGCTGATAAGTTCAAGTTGCAAATTTGAATATTTGATCAGTTCGGATAGAAAACGATCATACATTAGAGTTCGGGTATAAAAACGCCACACGAAAATAAGTTGGGTTAATTTTGACCGTTTTTCCAAAAGCAACATAACAAACATAAAGAGGCCTACTAATATAAAGGCAGTATGGGCTTTCTTTACCTGCTAGGTCCAAAGGCTTGTGAGATATTTTAGACTTTTTTAGTGATAACATTTTCCAATATGATTTGTTAGTGGGGTTAGTCTTTATTTTTTTCGTCAAACAGCTAGTCACTTAGTGATATTTAGTCTTTTTCCTTTCAAGAATCTTATCAATATTTTAGTACATTCACTCAACAAACCAAGTCAAACCAATCTTAATTATTGCAGCTTTTATGTACTCTTTAAGCTTTATCAACTAACAAATCACAAATGATTATCCATTCTATATTTGTATCACCTTAATAACAATATTGTATGTTTTTAGAAGACCACTTCTTTGCCTCATTTGAGTAACGCGTTAATTATCCAAAATGACCCAAAACAAGTCCTCTCTACGTCATCTTTTGTATTAACAATTATCTCAAAGTATAAAGTATGTGTCTACTTGCAAATTCCAACAGTTAATTAATTAATAAGCGGAATTAGTCTCTTCAAAACTATCTATTTATTTGTCTCGTCTCTCCTTTTGTAATTATGCAATCTTAGTTATGTCGTTATTCCATCATCTTTTATCTCGTTCTCTTCCTTTATGGCATGTATTTTTTCTCACCTTCTTAGTATTACTCGGGAAATCTCAAAAGGAAGTTTTACAAGTTAAAGTGGGAATTGTTCTTGATACTAATGTGACATTAGCAGATTTGAGCTTACGAGCTATCAACATGTCTCTCTCGGAATTCTATAGCACTCATAATGGCTTCAAGACAAGGATTGTCCTCAACATCCGAGATTCCAAACGAACTGTTATTGGTGCTGCAGCTTCAGGTACTCGTCTCTATCTTTAGCTTGTGAACATTCATCAATCATGTATGAAATTATATATAGATTTACGCACTATCTTACAAAACATAAAAATTATGTTCTTCTATAAGTTTTTATTTTTACATTACATATTATTACAATCATTGCAGATAATATTCTCTTTTTATTCGTTTTTATATATTACATTTATATTTTTATATTGCTACAATTAATTCTCATAAGAATTATTAGGGGGAGGTCGCAGCAGGTTGAAATCAAAGTCCTACATATAGTAACATGAACAATATAATCCCAATGATTAACGAAGGACTAGTTCTTTCTATAATTGTCAACGATGTCTAAGTCGTGATATATAGATCTAAAGATCCTTGTCTTAAGAAATGGCTGGTTGTCTAAATTGGCAAATGATGAGTCCGACTAATTTGAAAGAGAATATCGCTCCAAAATCAGCAATAATTGAAACATAAAGAAAACCTATATATTTTTCATGAAATTCAATGAAAGATATATATATATATATATATATATATATATATATAATTAAAATAGTATATATATATATATATATATAACAATAAACTAGAACTCTAAATTATTATAGTAGGAAAATAATAGCGTTTGAAGATCATGATAGATTTGTATATCATGTATGGAAGGCAATTTGAATTGATCCCCGATCGAATCTCAAGTCCTCTCTACATCATATTTTATTAAAGTTATGTACTTATGTTTTAGTTATTTCTAAGCACATTTTGAGAAACGACTTCTCAAATAGGAAATATTAACTTAAACTTTGCAGCTTTATACTTGATAAAGAAGAGGGAAGTGGTGGCCATTATTGGACCAGGGAATTCAATGCAAGCTCCATTTTTAATCAACCTCGGAAATCAATCTCAAGTTCCCATAATTTCATTCTCTGCGACAAGCCCTGTTCTTGATTCTCTCCGTAGTCCATATTTCATCAGAGCCACACACGACGATTCGTCTCAAGTCCAAGCCATTAGCGCCATCATAGAGTCGTTTAGATGGAGAGAAGTTGTGCCTATTTATGTGGACAATGAGTTCGGAGAAGGTATTCTTCCTTACTTAGTTGATGCTTTTCAAGAGATCAACGTTCGTATCCGATACCGAAGTTCCATATCAGCACATTCCTCTGATGATCAAATCAAGAAAGAGCTTTACAAACTAATGACCATGCCCACTAGGGTTTTTGTCGTGCACATGTTGCCTGATCTTGGATCGAGGCTTTTCTCGATAGCAAAAGAGATTGGTATGATGAATAAAGGATATGTATGGATTGTCACAAATGGTATAGCTGATCAACTGAGTCTAAAGGGGGAATCAAGCTTGGAGAATATGCATGGTGTCTTGGGCGTCAAGACATATTTCTCAAGATCAAAAGAGCTAATGTATCTTGAAACTCGTTGGCGAAAAAGATTCGGAGGAGAAGAGATAAACAATTTTGAATGTTGGGCTTATGATGCGGCCACAGCACTTGCAATGTCAATTGAGGAAATCAGTAATGTACACATGAGTTTCAATAAGACCAAAACAAACACTTCAAGAGAAGATATAGGCACGGACCTTGATGATCTCGGTGTTGCTCTCTCTGGTCCCAAAATTCTTCAAGCATTGACAACAGTCAGTTTCAAAGGTGTTGCCGGGAGATTTCAGCTAAAAAACGGAAAGCTAGAGGCGAAGACTTTCAAGATAGTCAATATAGAGGAAAGCGGGGAAAGAACAGTTGGATTTTGGATATCAAAAGTAGGACTAGTGAAGAGCCTAAGAGTTAATCAAACAGACATTAAAATATCACACAGCTCACGCCGCCTTAGACCGATTATATGGCCTGGGGACACTATTTTTGTGCCTAAAGGTTGGGAATTCCCAACAAACGCAAAGAAGCTGCGAATAGCGGTTCCAAAGAAGGATGGTTTCAACAATTTTGTGGAGGTAAAAAAGGATGCAAATACTAATGCTCCAACGATCACCGGGTTTTGCATAGATGTTTTCGAAACGGCAATGAGACAAATGCCATATGCTGTCCCCTATGAGTACATCCCCTTTGAAACTCCTGATGGAAAATCGCGTGGAAGTTACGACGAAATGATTTATCATGTGTTTCTTGGGGTAAGTTACATTGAACCCTAAACCTTTTGAGGAAACCATTTCTTTCTTTTTTTTTTTTATCAAAATTGTAAAAAAAAATGTTTTTCTTTTTTTCTTACAGGAGTTTGATGGAGCTGTAGGGGATATCACAATCTTAGCTAATCGGTCTTCATACGTCGATTTTGCATTGCCATACTCGGAGACGGGTATTGTAGTGGTTGTGCCGGTCAAGGATGAGAGGGAAAAAGGAAAATGGGTTTTCTTAAAGCCTTTAACATGGGAGCTATGGGTCCTCACTGCTGCTTCTTTTCTCTACATTGGAATCATGGTTTGGATTTTTGAGTACCAAGCAAATGAGGAGTTCAGGGGACAGAGCATTATTAATAAAATATCTAATGTGTTCTACTTCTCATTTTCGACTCTCTTTTTCGCACACAGTGAGTATTTTTTTTGTGTTTTTTTTTTTGTCATACACAACTTCAGCTTCTAATCATTCCAATTACTTGAAAATCTTTGAAAAAGGAATCTGATAAAACCACTTTGTTTTTATATAGTGAGGCCATCAGAGAGCATTTTCACAAGAGTTCTTGTGGTGGTTTGGTGCTTTGTGTTGCTTATTCTTACTCAGAGCTACACAGCAACATTGACATCGATGCTGACGGTTCAAGAACTTAGACCAACAGTGAGACACATGGACGATCTGAGGAAGAGCGGAGTTAACATCGGATACCAAAGTGGTTCGTTTACATTCGAAAGGCTGAAACAAATGGGTTACAAAGAATCGAGGTTAAAGACTTATGATACTCCTCAGGAAATGCATGAACTTTTTCTTAAAAAGAGCAGCAATGGTGGTATTGATGCTGCATTCGATGAAGTCCCTTATGTCAAGCTTTTCATGGCTAAATATTGCTCAAAATATTCCATTATCGAGCCTACCTTTAAGGCTGATGGCTTTGGCTTTGTAAGTAAACCTCGTTACTTTTTATCTAGGCTTTGAATGGTGGCAGAGGATACATGGAATCAAAAGTTTTGGTTGGTCTATAGCATTACGAAAACAGTCTAATTGCGTGCCACTGCTCAAACTTCAAAGTTCAAACGATAGGTTGTTCTTAATTAGGATTTTGAAAGT